ACAACCATTCTATTTTAAGAAGAAAATAACTATTTTTCTCAACAAAAACATACCCTCATATTCCATAAATTTCCTCATAAAATTTGCCTTCCTTTCTCAGATACATAGTTGTGAGGATGTGAAACCTATTTCTAACTTTAGTTACCATGTATTAGTTACACTGTCATCCTTAGCAATTGTACACCAGCAATCTGTAGAGTATGACTTCTAGATACATGAGTTCTCTCAGAGTCAAAAATTTGTTCATTTAGTAACAGACCCAGATATATTTAACTTCTTTACATTATATAACAACAAGATGCTAAAGTATATAAACTTTAAACATGATTAATGACTAATATTAGCATTTTAATTTATTTAAAAAGGACATAGCCATCTTATATTGTACACTTAACTTCATTTTAAGGCTTTCTTTTTACCAAAAGGGGTTTTGAAACTATGAAGTGTTCACATATAAATGCTTGTCATTTACATTTTCCTATATTGCTCATTTTAAATAATTATGTTCAAGATTACTTATGAAAAGCAAAGCTAGCTATTGTCTTTTTATTCTTCTTTTGAAAAAGCAAAATCAAATTGAAAACAAAAAACCCTCTCAGCTAACTTGTTTAACCAAGGGCTCTGAGGTTGCAGACATAGTTATTCCTTGTCTCAGCACCCATGTGGTACCCAGGAATTCTATGAAAAGCAGATCCTTTCTGGGTCTTTAACTTTTTATTTTTCAGCTTTAATTGAGTTTATTGTTACATTTTAGGAATACAGTACAGTTACATTCATTGTTGGGATCTTGTACCTCTACATGACAAGTCTTGATTCTCATTTTTTTCCCCTTACCCCTGCCCTCCCTTCACCCCCTCCTCCCCTCACTTTTAATAAAAGATGTGGAGCCCAGGACAGAGGATATCATAGAGTGTAAAAATAAAACAAAAACTACAATGAAGGCAACACTGAAAAAGCTTTTAAAAATAGAATCACAGGGATGGAGTACAGCTCAATGGCACTATGCTTACCTTGCTTGTCCAAAGCCCTGAATTTGATTTCTAGCCCTGAAAAGAAAAAAAAAAATCAAAATGGAATCAGGACATAAGGAAGTAGATCTCAAGCAGGGTGTAATTCATTGAGAAATAAGCTACTTATTTCAAGAGTAGTTTATGATGTTTTCATATCAACTTACATTAGTTTACTACATATGGAGCTTATACCCAACCTGGCCAGTCCAGTGAGGCCAGCACTGACTCCTTCTTGACTGTTACTCCTCTAGAGATGTGGTTACCCAGACTGCTCTTCAGCCTTTGAAGAAGCCTGTGTTTTGTGCAGAAGCATAATGATTCCAAGTGTTCTTTGAATGACTGCCTCAAACCTAAGGAACCTCAACTAGATGTTTTATCATTGCAGTCTGTTTCTTCCTTTACAGGCCCCTCATTCTCACCTCCACCACCTTCTAAAAAGGTACACAGTCAACAGATCTTGACAACATTTGCTGCTTTCAGCCGACAATACCAACACAAAAATGCCTTTAAGATGTTTATGTTCATGACTCTGATGTGACTATTTTCATTACAAAATTATCATGAGTCATTAAGGCCATTGTGCAGTTTTAAAGTAAGATTTGTTTTGGAAATACAGTCTTGAAGCACTTAAAACAAAAAAGCATAATGTGATGATAAAACACTGGCATCACTTCTGGATACTATAGTTTGGATGTGGTTGGATTGGATTTCATGGATTGGAAGCTTGAACATGAGTGTGGGATATCAAGAGGTGAGCCTAGTGAAAAGTGATTCGGTCACCCAGGGAGCTGCTCTCAGCAAGGACCTCTTTTCTTTACAATTTTCCCAGCTTCCAGTATTTTGTTACAATAATACAAAATGAAATTATACATTGAACTTTTAAGAATTGATTTTTTTAAAAAAATAAGAACTAAGATATATTATGCAAAGGTACAAATTCCCAATGGGAATGTCATGATATTGTATACCTAAAATGCAAAAGTTGCATTAAAATAAGAACTGATTTTTTTGAATGACATCATGGGTGAAAATAATTAAAAGTAATAAAATGATATTTTTCTTGTACTTTGTCAGTTACTATTTTTTTTTTTACCTTCTATGGTTAATGTCTCTCACATTCCAAAATATGTGAGAAGGCACAATGAAAATACAGAAGAAGTATAAGCAGATGATAGTTGAACTTTCTACTTTGGCATTTTAACTGTCTACATTTTGTTTCACTTATAAGGAAAGTGGAAGTTTCACAAAGAGCCCAAAATAATGAAAAGTATTTCAGTAGAATAATTCACAACAAGGTGCTACACTGATACAGAGGGAAGGCCCAAGCTTGCTATATACCCCCTTAAAAATTTAGCATGCTTTACACACACACACACACACATTATAGTATACATGTTTGATTGTATTGGTCTATGTTATAAAACACAGAAGGTAAACAAAATCGAAAATCATTGAAATTAAAAATATACAAATAGAAGCTCTATTTTTTTTTAATTCAAGAGATTTTCATACACTCTCTGGAATGAGTTCTACACTGAACAATTTGACTTTCTAGGTTTTCCTTGCAGTCTTAAGCAAAGCTAGAATCAGTACAAGGCTTGAGCTCTGCAAATTTAATTTTCTATTTAAAAAAGATTGCAGTTTAATCTAGAATGTTTGAATGCCATATATATGCCATATTTTCAACAAAGTGCATTTTCTTATCTGAATAGCACTTACGGAGACATGGCTTTGCTTGTAATATAGAGTGTGGTCACAGGTAGAGTCACCCTCGTGTGGCACAGGGCTGCTTCTACAGCTCCTTGTGTGACATTCAGCTTTTGGAACTTGGCTCTCATAAGATAGGCTGTCAAAGAGCAGTAGATCCAACTCCTTCCTAGGAATGTGCTTTCCCGTCCACTAGTTGTGGTGTGGCAATCTCCTGCATTTGTTTTTACCATATGATACACTGGGTCCAGGATGGAGTTTACTGAATAAAATAATAAGTCAATAGAAACATTTCAATCTGTGTGTACTACTAGCCAATCGCAGTTAAATATTATTAATATTAATCATACATAGGCACTATACAAGCATGATGGATTATTTTCAAACCACTCCATCTAGATGACATAACTTAAAGACAGGGTATATCTTATTGCATTATTGTTCCTCATCATTATTGCTCAGGCATTTGGACATCTAGCTGTGTTTCTGTTTGGCAACAGGTTTGATGAGCTTGCTACCTGTCACTACCTGTCCCTGGTGTGACAACTTCCACCCACTGACTTTTTACAGTTACCAAAGGAAGGCAGCAAAATAAACAACATTCTAACAAAGCTGGAAAAAGAAAATCAAACCTTTGACTTCATATAAGTGATAGAAACAATCTTCTTCTCACCAAATTCTAATTTATCTTGTATCTACTTCACAGGCAGTTTAGCTACGACACAATGTAATGTAAGGGATTAAATAAGAGGAGAACGTAGGGAGGCCTTAGAAATGGTGGATTTGCCTGAGAATGTTTATCCTCCAGAAGAAAAAGAAAAAAATCCCAAAAAACATTTTATCCAGTGAAGATCTGAACACTTGACAGATTAAAGCTGTTACCTAGCTCCTGCTTGTGCGTGCTCGGGAGAGGGGAATAATTGATCTCTGAGGGCTTTTCCAATTCCAAGTCTTACTCAAAATTGGGGGAGGAAATGGTTGGAGTCAACATTCTGAACTCTCTCTACTCTCACTAACCACCAAAGAAAAAAAGAAGGGCGGGGTGGCAGAAGAGAGGAAAGAAAAGATAGAAAAAGAGAAACCTTGACCTTCTATTTCACGCTCCATTTCTGGTATGACCTAGTTCTGCAAGAAGAAAACATCAACTCTGAGGTGTGCCCGCTGGAGCAAAGGTACAAAGAATATTCTCGACCGGAGCCCACCCTGAGGTAGCTAGGGCAATGCATTTTCTCTCCTCCACACCCCAACCCTGCTGGCCTCAAATCACTTTCTAAATTCTGGAGGACTTCGAATCTCTGTCCTTAGCCCATGAGTAAACAGAGAGTCAAGGAGCTGGGCCAGAAGAGATTGGAAAAGTGGATCAGGCCTCGCGGCAGTATTTCCCATACAGGTTACACAGGGGCGAGCAGACGTGTTGTCTCAGGCTGACTCTAGGCGACTGGGACACAGCTGGAGCTGAATAAGAACATTAAATACACAGCACCGTAGTTTGGTCTTGGGCCCAGCCTCCGGGCCGTGGCACCGGTCCATTGGTCTCCGCCAGCCAAGGCCCGGCCCTGGTTGCTCCACACC